TCTCATCCCGCTTCCATCGCCGGGATTAAACAGCGATTTCGCGAACATTTGGTCCTTCGAGCCGGATGCGTGGAAATTAAAGTGTAACTCAGACTCAGATCATGTGAACAGAGCATGCCCTTCACGACATGCCGCGTGGACATTATCGCGCGCTTTCGCGAGTGAAGGACAGACATTCTCACGCGCGCTCGCGAGTGTTACGAAAACATGTTCACGCGCTCCCGCGAGTGTAAACAGACATTTTCGCGTGCTCAATATATGACATTGTAGACTCTCGATTCGAGTAGTGTTGTCCTAACGCGTTTCTCGAACGTTCTCGCCTCTTGCAGTGTTTCTCATACGTGTCTCGACGATTCTCAGGTCTCTCATCGGGCGCAGCTCATTGACGTCTCATCATGCCGGATCCCGCAAAAGACGCGACGGGCGGCAAGTCCCCGCCGTTACTCAAGCTGCCGGAGGACAAGCGCACTTCAGATCGCCAGGCCTCACCGGTGCGTTTGTCTGCTGAACTCACCTTAAAGGTGAGGACCCAGATGAACCGCATCGCGACAGTGCGAAAAATCGGCGAGACCTTACCATCGTCTGTAGAGGACACGTCTGTGGATGAGATTCTACAGATCTCAATTCAACTCGAGGAGGTGCACAAGGCGTTCCTTAAGGAACACGCCTACTTCGAGGTCTCATGGCCGGCGGCGCTCGTCGACCATGAATATTTCTCCAACGACGCCTTCGCCGTGGAGGCGGAGGAGTGTATGACGGCTCGTCGCGCTCTGGCAAAGCTCAAGGGCGCATTGGCGGAAAAAATCGCTCCATCGACAGCTCCTGTAGCGGCGCAGCCCTCACAATCTCAGCAAAGATTGCCGGACATTAGCATCCCGTCCTTCAAGGGCGTGTACGAGGCATGGCCTACGTATCGCGATCTCTTCAAGGCGGTTATCTATGACAGCCAACGGCTCACCGACGTGGAGAAATTCCACTATTTGCGGCTCTCATTAGAGGGCACGCCTGCTCAGCTCATTTCCGGATTGCCTCTCACCGCCGACTCGCTCAAACCATCCTGGGAGATGCTCGTCGATCGCTACGAGAACAAACGTCTGCTCATCCAATCATATCTGGACCAGCTCTTCGCCAGCTCAACACCGGTGCAGAAAAACGCCGCGGCACTGGACAAGCTGCTCAACACCTTCAAGGAGGGCATCAAGGGCCTCCAATCCTTGGGCGTATCTCAGGATCTGGGCGACTGCGTACTGGTGTACCAGCTGTCTAGGCAATTGGATCGCCAGACTAAGGAGCAGTGGGAGACGTCGTTGGGCGCCGCGCGCGAGTACCCGCGGTTCGAGAAACTCGAGCAGTTTCTCACCTCGCGAGCACGAGCACTCGAGAGAATCGAGTCGACGACCAGCTCAGGAAGCTCGGCAGTGGTTGCTTCGACCGCGCGACGCTCCTCGACGGCTCATCTTGCGGCAGCTCAACCGGCACGCACCAACACCTCAGCCGGCTCAACAGAGTACCCGTGCGACTGCTGTAATGGCACGCACTTCGTGGTGACGTGCCCGAAGTTCAGGGAACTATCACCGGGCGATCGACAGAAGCTAGCCATTTCACGGAGGCTGTGCTTTAACTGCCTCGGCCGTCACAACGTCCGCTCATGCAAGAGCTCACGGGGGTGCAAGAAGTGCACCTGCCGACATCATACGATGCTGCATGAGGCACATCAGAGCGACTCATCCTCGAAGCCAACCACCAGCTCTGCCTCGGCACCTCAATAGGACAACGGTGCAATCGTCGCACGCTCATCTATTGCTCGCTCATCACACTCAACGTTACTCGCTACGGCCCTGGCTCAGATCAGCTCATCGGTTAATACTCAGCACGTACGGCTTCTCATCGATACAGGTTCTGAACTTACGTTTGTCTCAGAATCGCTCATCCGTCAGCTCAACATTCCTCGTCATCATTCTGTCATTCTCATCACCGGAATTGGGGGCGGAAAGGCTACGCAAACTCGAGGAGTTGCACTCCTCAAACTCCGCTCACTTTGTTCACGATCAGACGTCATAATCCAAGCTCACATTTTACAGACGTTAACCAACATCCTGCCATCATTCAACGCTGCACCACAGGAGTGGCCGCATCTCACCAAGTTAACCTTGGCTGACCCTGATTTTCTGACACCGCGGCCAGTGGATATTATCATTGGAGCTGACTCATATGGGCAGATCATCAAGCCCAACATCATCAAGCAAGACATATTGATGCCAATTGCGCAGCTCTCAATCTTCGGATGGCTCGTTCTCGGGCCTGTCGACACATCATCATCAGCATCTGCTGCAGTGCATCATGCATCGATTCAGGAAAGGGAAGATGCTCTCTACGAGTTATTGTCGAGATTTTGGACACAGGAAGAAGTGCCTGCGAGCAACAATCCTGAGCTTACTCCTGACGAGCAAAGATGTGAAGAGCATTTCCAGAGCACTGTATCACGGGATTCAACAGGTCGATACACAGTCCGACTCCCATTAATATCATCACCTGATACTCTTGGCAATTCGTATCTCACTGCGCATCGATGTCTGAAAAGTCTACAAAGGAGATTCTCCCGAGATGACAATTATCGACGTCTGTATCATCAATTTATGACAGAATATCGAGATCTCAACCACATGAAGAAAGCTTCACCCGTTTCCAGTCAGCAACCGCAATATTATTTGCCACATCACGGAGTGCTCAAACCAGACAGTGCAACCACGAAATTACGAGTGGTATTCAATGGCTCGAGCGCATCCACATCTGGCCGCTCACTGAATGATATCATGCACACGGGAGCCAAGTTGCATTTAGACGTCACCGACGTCTTGCTCTGGATTCGACAATTTCGACACCTAGTTGCCACGGACATCACCAAGATGTACAGACAGATCAACGTGCATGAAGATGACTGGAATTTACAACGGATTCTCTGGCTCGACGAACTGCTCAATGAAGTGGCCTATTATCTAACCACGGTCACGTATGGAACCAAGGCTGCCCCGTTCTTGGCAGTACGAACGCTGCTGCAACTGGTGGAGGACGAAGGCCATAATTTTCCGCTTGCAGTGCCGTCCATCCTTCAAGGTCGATACGTCGACGACATCTTTGGAGGCGCTGATACTGTTCAACAGTTAATCAAGATTGCATTGCAGCTGAAGAACTTGTGCAGGGCGGGCGGCTTTCCATTGGCAAAGTGGCACGCGACTCATCCAGACGTGCTCACTGCTGTTCAAGCAGAGAAAGACCAGGGCTCACAAATTACATTCGACGATTGCGCAACCAAGATACTCGGATTACGATGGCTTCCTCAAGAAGATTCATTCGCATTCGCAACAAGGATCTCGTCGCATACCGATCATCTCACCAAACGCCTCGTTTTGTCTGAAGTGGCTCAGATATTCGATCCACTAGGCTTTGCATCACCAGTCGTGATCAAGGCGAAGATGCTCTTGCAGGAGCTTTGGCTTCACAAGCTCCAATGGGATGAACCACTGCCATCCCAGCTCTCATCACGGTGGCTCATCATCAGAAAGGAACTCACCAGCTTGCGCAAGATCTCAATACCTCGGTGGTATAACACATGGAGTTCATCGACAGTGGAATTTCACGGCTTTTCTGATGCTTCTCAACTGGCAATGGCTGCAGTCGTATTTATCACCGTCCACGGCTCAAATGGTACCACGATTTCATTGGTGTGCTCCAAAACAAAGGTAGCACCGCTCAAGCGGCTCACCATCCCGAGACTTGAACTCACCGCAGCGCTGCTGCTCTCAAGACTCATGCAATACGTTCAAGCCACATTGAAGTTGAACGTCACAGCCACTCACCTGTGGACGGACTCTGTTGTGACACTCACGTGGATCAAATCTCATGCATCGCGCTGGAAGGATTTTGTGAGAAATCGGGTCTCTCAAATTCAAGAGCTCACTGCGAACGCACATTGGAAATACGTACCAGGTACGTCCAACCCAGCCGACTGCGCCTCACGAGGATTAAGTACTGCTCAACTCCAAAGCCACTCATTATGGTGGACGGGACCACCGTGGATACTCACCCCTGAAGCTTGGCCATCACAACCCGCGCTGTCGGACGAGTTGAGCGCTCATGAGGCTCGTCCTGGCATTGCGCTACATGCGGCCGCATCTCAACCGGACTATCACTGGGACCTGATATATAGGTACTCAACACTCAACAAGTTATTGAAAATAACAGCTCTTTGTTTCAGATTCATATCGCTTCTGGGAAACCACCGTCGCAAGCCACTGGACTTGCACTCAGCTTTGGAAGAGGCCAGACTCTTCTGGATTAAGGCTACTCAAGCGGCATACTTCACGCACGAGATCAAGATGCTCACGGCCAACTCGAGACTACCAACTGCTCACGCATTCAGCCGATTGACTGCGTATATGGACGCTCAAGGGATCATCCGAGTTGGCGGCCGCCTCAATCAATCAGCACTAGCTCAAGACAGCAAACATCAGGCGATTTTGCCTCGCCACTCCCAGCTCTCAACCTTGATCATTTCACACGCTCATCTGCGTACTCTGCATGGAGGAACTCAGCTGACATTGGCTCATGTCAGGCAAAGCTACTGGATCATCGGCGGACGGGCTCCGGTGAAGTCGCATATTCTGCGGTGTGTCGTGTGTGCTCGGCAGAGGGGGATCCGTGCTCATCAACTGATGGGCCAACTACCTCTCTCTCGGGTTACGCCGTCACGTCCGTTTACTCACACAGGAGTTGACTATGCCGGACCGCTCACCATCAAAACATGGAAAGGACGAGGTGCGAAAACATACAAAGGATGGATCTGTGTGTTCGTCTGTTTCTCCACCTCCGCAATTCACCTCGAAGTAGTCAGTGACTACTCATCAGAAGGATTTATCGCAGCCTTCCGAAGATTTTCCGCAAGAAGGGGAATTGCTCAGACCATATATTCGGACTGCGGGACAACATTCATTGGAGCAGACGCCGCGCTTAAGAAAATGTTCATCCAGAGCTCACAAGAACATCAACGGATCGCTCACATTCTACAACAGGATTGCACCAGATGGGAGTTTAACCCACCAGGCGCTCCACACATGGGGGGCAAGTGGGAGGCGGTGGTGAAATCGGTGAAGTTTCACCTGAGACGGACTATCGGGGAGACTCTACTCACAACGGAAGAACTTACAACGTTGCTTACGCAGATCGAGGCCATTCTCAACTCGCGGCCTTTAGAACCGTTGAGTGACGATCCTGAAGACGTCTCAGCGCTCACACCAGGTCATTTCCTCATTGGAGGTCCACTCACTACCATACCTGAGCCATCTCTGATTGACCTAGCAACCTCACGCCTATCTCGATGGCAGCTCATCCAACAGCGGGTTCAACATTTTTGGGCACAATGGTCGGTTCATTATCTGCAACGCCAGCAGGCGATATCCAAGTGGCATCATCCTAACAACAATATCAAGGTGGGGTCCATCGTGCTGCTCACCGACGAACGATCTCCACCGTGCAAGTGGCCACTCGCCAGAGTAACGGCCTTGCACCCCGGCAAGGATGGACTCACCAGGGTGGTTACCCTCAAGACGGCCACCACGACACTCACTCGGCCAAGTGCCAAGCTTGCGATTCTACCCATTTCAACTGAATGAAGGATCATGAGTAAGGAATCATCAACAAGGTTGCTGATGGCGGGCGGAATGTTCGAGATTCCCTTAACGTTGCGCCGTCCGATCAGATGGCAGCAT